TGTGTGTGTGTGTGTGTGTGTGTGTGTGTGTGTGTGTGTGTGTGTGTACACCCGAGGACAATAACCATTGTGGCGGACAACAGACGAGGGTAGTAACTACAGAGTCGCCACCTGTTTGTGTGTCTGTGTAGGAGTTTGTATGCTGGAGAGCTTCTGCGTGAGTGTTTGTCTCACTAAGCAAAAAAACACACACGTGTTTTAGAGGCGAGCGTGCTGGAAATCCCCGAGCCGATCTGAATGGCTGCTCTCTTCCTGCTCCTCAGCGCAAAGACTATTGTTCTGTCCGTGTGGAAACAAAGTGTGAAGCATCCCTATCGTTTCCATTGGTTACTTATGACATAAACACACACACAGCTGTGCGCAAGCAAATTATGGATAGAAGATGGAAATCATGCATACTCGCTCAACTGATATTAGGCAAAGTCAATATTGAGGAATGCATGCATGCTGCAGTCTCATTAGAATACAAACTTTATTAATAGGGCAACATGAGGGCAACATTTTCTCTTTTTTTTTAATCTCAGAAGCCTGCCATGTCCGGTCCCACCTGGCTTCCCCCGAGGACTCTGGATAGCCCCGAGCGAGCCGTCCCCCAGATGTCTCACTCCGCTGGCTCAGCAATCTACCGAGCCCCCAACAAGAAGGGGACGTCCGACTTCCGGCCAAAATATGGCCCCTACGACCAGAACGGTGGAGGAGGAGGAGGAGGAGGTGGTGGTGGAGGAGGAGGAGGAGGAGGAGGTGGTGGTGGTGGAGGAGGAGGTGGGATGGCCAACAGGTACATGGCTACCGGACCCACAGGTAAGAAGACCACCAGTCACATGCTGGTGTCACTAATCAGATTCAAATAAGTGTGTAAGTGAGTGTTCAGCTTTTGGATAGGATTTACAAGGTTCTTAAAGTTATAACGGTGTATTGTCAGAAATAATTTAGTCAATATTTTGGGGGGGGGGGATTTGTTATTAATAACTGTTCTCTAACCTGAAGGTGGGCCCATTCATCACTCGTCTAGCGATCACTATTACTCCCCTCCCCATGGTCCCAAAGAAGACCGCACCTGGAGCCCTCACATGGACAGCTACGAGCTGATGGTGGGTTTGTTTTTCATGCGGGCCATTTAAAAATCAACATTTCAAGTCGAGCAACAGAACAGTTTCCCAACATTTCCAACTTTCTTGCCGTTAGCACCGTGGTCCTGAAAAGCCGGCGAGCTATCACTCCAAAATCGACGCCGATATCGACTCCCTCACCAGTATGCTCGCTGATCTGGACAGCCACCCGCAGGACGCCAGCACACAAGTAGGACAACACACTTTATTTAAACTAAACGGACACATTATTTGAGAAATTGCATTCGTACTTAATTGTGTACTTTTCCTGACTCCCCACAGCTGTACGACAACGTGCCTTATAACAAGTACCTCTCAGGGGATCACTACAAGCCTGCGCACCAGAGTGCGGGTCCTCCTCCGGGTCGGCCGTCCATGGGCTACCCCCCTCATCCCCAGAGCCAATACCACCCAGCGCCCCGCTACCCCAGCGAGCACCAGCCCCCTCAGTACTCCACCTCCCACCAGCCGGACTACTACTCCCCCTCTCCGACCCCGAAGCCCTACCCTCAGCCCGTCCCGGCCTCCTACACCACGGCCTCGACTCCGACCGGGCCCAGGTTCAGCGTCCAGGTGAAGACGGCTCAGCCCGTCACCTACTCCCAGACGGGGAGGCAGGCCGAGCAGGCCTACACCCCGCCCCCTCCTCGCCAGCACGTGTCCCGGCCCCATCCCCAGACGAGCCCGCAGGGCTGGTACCCGCCGCATCCCGGCTCGCAAGCTCAGGAGATGCACTCCGAGGTGGTGTACAAGGGGAGCGCCGCAGGACCGGGAGGAAGAGTTATGCAGGCGCCACAGTCCAAGAGAGGGATGGAAAATCACCAAACAGGGTCGGGGGCTGCGCAGAGTCCGGCTTATCAATCCAGCAAGGTAGAGACACATATACATCTCTAGCCTGTTAGAGGATTATATGTAATTATATGTTTCAATACCTTACTTTGAGTAATGTCAACAGGCTTTTTTGCAAGCACCCATACAAGAACGAAACATTTAAATTCATTAATATCTGATAAAACTAAATTATGAATCCAACCAAGTGTTGAAAGTACAAACCCAGCCCTGAATATCATAAATATCAAATTCAATTTTCCTTTTAAAAGAGTTGGTTATGAAAGGAATGCTTTCTGATCTTTGTTTGTCGTCTTTTCTTCCAGCAGGGGATGGCAACAACCAGGCCAGAGGAAGAGTTGGATCGACTTACCAAGAAGTTGGTATATGATATGAACCACCCCCCTGTCGAGGACTATTTTGGTACAGTCATTACTTTAATGACCTATGACGCACTAACATCCTACCTTCTGGCATTTTCAAATAACACACGCTTTTAAATGGCCTTTCAGGCCGCTGCGCCCGGTGCGGCGACAACGTGGTCGGTGACGGCAGCGGCTGCATCGCCATGGAGCAGGTGTTCCACGTGGAGTGTTTCACTTGCATCACCTGCCACGCCCGACTCAGAGGGCAACCCTTCTACGCCCTCGACAAGAAGAGCTACTGTGAGAGCTGTTACATCGTAAGAAAAGCATTGAGTCCATCTCTCGGTAGTATAAATAGATTTATACGTGTATATATATCCTGGTTTATTGTACACCTGTTTCTACTTTTCTTGTCAAGAGTACGTTAGAGCGCTGTTCAAAGTGCTCCAAGCCCATCCTGGACCGTATCCTGCGGGCCATGGGGAAGGCCTACCACCCTCGCTGTTTCACGTGCGTGGTGTGCAACTGCTGCCTGGACGGCGTGCCGTTCACCGTAGACGCCACCTCTCAGATTCACTGCATCGACGACTTTCACAGGTATGGAAAACATTCAAACGCCCGCGATGTTGTTGTTGAGCGCAAGGTGCGTAAAAGAGAAGGTAAATGTCGACGCTGTTGTTCTCCCCGACAGGAAGTACGCTCCTCGCTGCTCGGTGTGCGGTGAGCCCATCATGCCCGAACAGGGCCAGGAGGAGACGGTGAGGATCGTGGCTCTGGACCGCAGCTTCCATGTTAACTGTTACATCTGTGAGGTGGGTCGACTGGACAACAAGATCACACAACACAACCGGACTTTGCCTTTGACTTAGCCTCTGATTCATGCAACAAATTCTGTCCCTGATTCTGTGTCTCTCAGGAATGTGGTCTCCTGCTGTCCTCTGAAGGGGAGGGTCGAGGCTGCTACCCGCTGGACGGCCACATCTTGTGTAAGAGCTGCAGCGCCTGCCGCATCCAGGACCTCTCTGCCAAAATCTCCACTGACTGCTAACGCCGCTAGCCTCCGGCTCATTATACACACGCACACACACACTATTGATGGTTGCAGACAGGGTGTGCCCCTGCTTTGACCTGCGAGGTGCTTCTTTTTTGTTTTTCTTGCTCTGACTACGACATAAACTTTGCTATAGTTCCCTCTGTTGGTATCCAGCTGTAATTGTGTTTGCAGAGGAACATTTTCTGAGTCCTGATGGAGCGAGCACCTTTTATTCTGATGTCCTACTACATTTACTTTTTTTTTTATTTTGGTACACAGCTGCCCCATTTTTCAGCTGTAGTTCAGTATTAGTGTGACGGTGGCCTGACCTGCAGGCAGCTTGGGCTCCACTTACCATTTATCGGTACTGCTCAACTATTAGCTTGCACATTATTATCTTTGTCAAAAACAATGAAAGTATGGAAGGATATCACAGATTAAGACCTAAAAAGAAGAGGGTTTTTTTTGGGCAGAGAGGCATCTTAAATGATAATTAGACTTGTCATACATTTGTAAAACACTAAACGTCAAAAGTTTCCGAACTGCCTCCAGACAAGCGTATTAAAAGCACATAATGCAACAACTGTGACTGTACATAACGGGCTGGTTTGATGATGAAAATGTCGCCTTCAGTGCAGTGAATCTTTGCAGAGACGTAGCTTCATAGCAGGACAAATGTAGAAGACGAGGAATGTGTAGTTAACCTTACAAACTATAGTTTTCTTTTTCCTTTAGCTTTTATGAAATGCTAGTACAATATTTGCTAGAACAAACTTCTCAACACAATGTTACAGCATCATGTTTAATTGGAGTTCATCACAGGATTGTTGCCATTTTTTTTTAATCATCCACAATAACATTTCTGAATGTCTACGAAACACAATCTTTTGTTTAACACTTGTTGTTGGTTTGATACTTGACTGTTACATTGAAAGCGATGGTGCAATGAAGTCGGATGCTTTCTTTTTGTCTTAGGAAAACAGGGTGTCGGTCACTTGTGTGGTTTGAAAAACACCCTGTTTGAAGTTTGAGCCTCATGTGAAGAACTTTGTACACGTGTCATTTGGAGGAAGCATGAAACTAAAGTTTTACTCAATTGAAAATGATTTTTGAGTGAATAGATTTACTTTACAAATACTTTTACACATTGGTTGTTCTTTATATTTGACTAAAATAACAGTGGACATAAATTTGATGTATTTTTACCACACAGACGTTGATATTTTTGTTCACCCTTGCACGAGACTTTGGAGCTTCAGTATTTGTTATGATCGTGTTTTAACCTCCGTCTCTCCGTCCTGATTTTGTGTTTGTTTAACTTAAAGGGCCAGAGCAGCTTAGACGCTTTGAAGGCCTTATCTCAAGGATGTCATTCAGTTTCATCATCATTGTTTTTTAAACTGGGTTCGTCTGTGAATTCTGCTTTTTCTTTTTTTTTCTTTTTTTTTTTTGGATCATGCTAAAACGGTTCCGTTGCGTTTTCTTCGTCTCTTAATTTATTTACTGCATTAGATCATCAAGGTTATCATTTCATTCATGCCCCCAAGTGTCTTTTTTTCTTATATATCCCAGCCCACGCCAACTCTTGTGTCATACTCTTCAAATCACATCATTTAGTTTTCTTTACACTCAAATCGTTTAATATCCTCACTGTGTTCAGTTTGAAATGCTGTTAATTTTGGAGCTTGCAGATCAAAGCCTGCGGCTCAAAGCAGCAGACGTCGGTCCACCGATGACTTTATACGGTGAAGTTACGTTAACGGGGGAGCGCGTTGAACACATGGGTGGTTTTTCTCCCAATACCGGTTGTAGTAAAAAAAAAAATATTAAAATGTCAAGTCAATTGTTTTTGTTTGTCACTTTTTATACAAATGCAGTTCAAAACTTAAAGGTGCACTCCACTGATTTGTCACCAGATTACCTGGAGGGTCTGACAAAATATGCAATTAAGTTGCATTATGGGAAATGTAGGATCCAGTGTTTTGGATATCTCAGACCGTCGAGCTTCAATCCTAATGACTCTTGGTTAAATTAATCTCTTGTAAGTCTACAAACGTTTGCGGAAGTGCAATAAAAAAAATCACAGGAATACCCCTTTAAGACAAAGAAAAATTAAACATAGCCTTTTAAATCAGAAAAATGTATTTTAGCCACTGTGTACATGCTTTCCAATCTCAAAACATACAACCTTATTACCGTATTATAATTGGCAAAACGCCTGTGTGTTTAGCATCTTGCAATAAATGATCCAGTTACAACAAAGTGAGCAAACACGGGATGAATTTATCCTTAAAAAGTACATTTAAAAACAAAAGTACTCCAGCTGGAACAGCTATTTTTTGCGCGCGCGTGTGTGTATTAACACGAGGTGAACGTTTTCCAGAAGAAGTTGCGACAGCCGGCCTTCCGCTCTCTTTGGGTGAGGGGGAGCTGTCGCCGCATCACCTCCTCCCTCGCTCCCTCCAGCTCCAGCTCGGGGAGCATCTCGTCTCCTCTCGCGGCCGTCAGCTCCGACACAAACTTCAGCAAGAGCAAGTAAGCGAGATCCTAAAGGAGGACAGAAAAATAACTAAATAATATCTCACGTCCCTGATTCCAGCCATTTAAGTATTTGCAAATATTTAACCCACTCACCTTGTCGTTTGCCACGTCTGCTCTCAGTGTCAGCATGTCTCTGCGTGGAGCACCGCTGACCTGCACCAGCACCACGGAGGAAATCAAGGCCACAACAAGAACCTGCACCTGAGAGCCGAGCATCTCCACCTCTAACGGATGGACTCCTGTAGCCTCTTTTCAAAAGTCCAAAACTGGAGAACCGAGAAGAAAGTGTATCACTGTTTTGAGTGGGATGTGGTTCGAGCTGATAAATAAGCCTCTTCATCTTCAAACCCTCCTCATCCTCACGCCAACAAAGGGAGGTGATTGGTGGAGAGGAACAGCAGTGAGGGAATGAGGAGGTGTGTGAGTGGTGAACAGAAGTGTCATCGGACAGGATAAGGTCATCGTTGGCGTGGACAAACTCCTGTAACACGTCTGACGTTAGTAACCAACTAGCTTTGCATTATGAATATTACATATCAAACCTAAACCGATGACGTTCTGTCAGTGACGATTAGCTACGCCAGCTTCGTAGGTGCTCCTGAACTCATCGTGAGGCCTTCACGCTGCGCGGCGTTTCGTTAATGACACAATGTGACTCAAATGTTAATGAGGCTGCTCGACCACTCTGCCACCCTTTATGCCGTCACTTTGAGTCAGTGGAGAGCAAACATCTAAATGTCAGACTGCAAACGGAACACTTTATGCAAGTGTTTGCCCGAGAGGTGAAAACTGGAGAGCTATTTGAAAATACATTGATCACATACAGATGTAATATGTTGCTGCTTTTTCCTTGAAGAGCAATGCCAGCCAAGTCAAACAAGAGCATCAACCAATGATGAACAAAGCGTAATTATCGCTCATTCTTTCAATACATAGTGACCTTTCCTTCACCACAGGGATGTCACCGATTACTCGGTCTTTAATGGTGACATAACTTGACTTTAAGCAACATTTTCGGAGTAGTGGGGGACCGTCGTGACCGCAGGCGTCCAGCTGTGCCGCTCCGAGGAATGAGAGCGGTCTCACAAATCACACCTCCAACGCCTCCACACCTACGTAATGGAAAATAGTGTCAGTTTGTCAGGGTTAATGAAACAACTTCACCTAAGTTTAACAGGAAGCACTTCCTCCTGCCGATTTAGACGTAACTCGCATAATTCATTCATTTCAGTGTTTTACTCTATGTCAAGCTGGTGGGTCAAACATTTCAACGGGCACGATTCCCAGAGCAACATCTTTGCAAAACACACTTTCATACAAATACAAGTGAAAGATTGATCTCAGTTTGTCTTGTGATTTGTGCAACGTTTACAGGATTTTCACTTATGAAATGACAATGCATGCATTGTATTCACTCCCAGCTGTTGCTGAGTTAATGTCATGTCAATGTCAGTGAGATGAAGTCCAGCAGAAGAATAAAGCTGCGTAAAATGTTTCAGTGATATGGTTTGTCCACTGGGTGTCGCTGTAATACTATTTTAAATCAACTCCATTCACTCCAATGAATCAACACTAAATGCCTCATGAGATATCCGTGTTCCGCTAATTACCTTTGAGGTAAATTACAAGCTGTGTTCATAAAGACAACAGAAAACGGAAGTGTGTGCTAATTAGCTTCTGTTTAACACGCGAGTCAGTCAAAATGGCGACTCTTCCAAAAGTAAACACGACTTGACAGCTTTCAAATCGAGACCAACCACGTTGCATCAACTCAGTCTACGTGTTAGTCTTACAAAAAAAAAATGCAAATACGTTTCCATATTTTGTGTGGGTGAGTTCCAACGTGCAATATAAACGCATTGTTTAATTGCAGCCTCGTGCAAAGACTTGTGTGACATATGCCCATGTGACGTTTTAATTAGTTTCAGTGTGGTGTTGCTGCTCGCCTCACCTGTCTGTGTCACCGCTCCAGTGCCGACAGGTGAGACCAGTTCAGTAACAAAGAGTGGTACCAGAAAGCTGAAATACCTGTGTCATTATACACCACAGTACACTCCGGAGGGTCCTTCAGGAGACTCTTGGGGGGGCTCCAGGCAATAAGTGGATATTACTTCAGCCATGCAAATGAAATGTTTTCCTTTCAATTTAATATATTACAGAGTTTTATGTCGGGGGAAATATATTTTAGAGGTCCTGTCTAAATATACAGGATGTGGAGGTCTACAATACAGTGTGGAATAAGATGTAGAAAATACTGTTTGCTCCTATACTCTTATTCTATTGCCTCCCTTAATACAGTGATATGGCTAAAATTACTGCACTTTTACCAAAGCAGTAATATTACTTTTTATGACATAAAATATGGCTTTATAATACGGCAAATTGTTAAAAGATTATGCATAAAGTAATCAAATGTATGTGCAAGGCAATTCATTGTGTCCCACTGCAATGCAGCCACCAAACCAGAGTATTAACAGACGTAAACCAAAACAGAAATATTACTCTTTATGTGAAATTTGCATATAGTTTGCAAATAATATTCATATAAACATGATACAATTCCACAGAAAGTCTTTTAATGTTAAAATCCAGCCCAGCACTATACTGCATGTATTTGTTTGTGATGAAGAAGCTCAAAGGTACGCTGAAACATCTGAATTACCTCATCTCAATTCAAATAACCTTTTACTAAATACATTTATTCCCAAAATTAGTTTTGAATTTGTGCCGTTCTTAATATTTCCAGGAATGTTCCAGACCAAATGTCTCGACCGTCACTTCGGGCTTTCTGTCCGGTCCAGCTTCCTCGGCCCGAAGAGCGGTTTTCACTTTGAAGGTGCGTTTCTTTATCCTCTTTGACAAAATGTGTACCAGAGAAGTCCTTAGCAGGTATCCAAGAAGGACCCGCTGATGACCTTTTTACCGTAAACCACCAGACCAGCATGGATTCCACTTCTTGTCCGATCAGGAGGCCACACTCTGTGGTTACGCCGTCTCAATGAACGATGCGGGAGACCTGGTGTTTCGGGCCTCCTTCCTGGCCTGTCACGTCCACAGCAAGGTAGATTAGTCTCCGTTCTGTTGTGCTCTGATACGTCGCAGGATTGCATTCCTCTTCTGTTGTCCCTCCTCTGCAGAGAGGCACGGACTATCACCTGCGTCTGTGGTTCGTGAGCCTGCAGGCGGATGGGAAGGTGGCGACGTTTCCCTTCCAGCTCCACTGCTCGCTCCGGGGCCGATGGAGCGCCAGAGAGATCGTCTGTGAGGAAAACTACATGGAGGTATGTCATCACATCCTTGGAAAATATTTATATTTATAGAGTACATACTGTGGATGTACGAATTACATTTGTGTTTAATTTTGAATGTGTAATTCTCTGAACATGAGCTCAGGCTGAGGGAAGATAAAATCAATTTGTGAAGGTATATCAAGCCTTATTTTTTCCTCTCTAGGTGTCGATTCAGCAGTCTATCCTGCCCATTACATCCAAAAATGAGAAGGTTCGTAAATGGCAAAGATAGAGAGACAAAGAGTTGCTTTCTGTGTGCAGCACATATATATGTTTTTATGTGATGTTTTTGCTCTACGGCTTCACAAACGCGTTGTCTTCTTTGTCACGGAGCAGGGAGCTGACGTGGCTGTGATGTTCCACGGAGATGACCGGCCTCCAGAGAAAGCGGAGGTCTTGACCCTGATGGAGGCTGCTACTCTGGGCTGCCCCGTCTCACTGCGTGGCTCTCGCCTCACCCTCCGCTGTCCCTACTCCTCCCCTCTCTCATACTTTGTCAAGGTACTAAGAGACGGAGGGATTTAGCCTTCATAGTCACTTTTAAATCCTTGCTTTTAGTGTCAGTGCTTTGTTTTTTTATTTTTCTGGATGCTGTGTGTTGGGGTTTTTTTCCCAGGAGAAGGGAGTGGATTTAGAGATCATCAGAGCAACCATCCTGTATCGACTCCAGAGCAACTTCCTCGCTGTTGACGCCGCTATTGCCTGTGCTCTGAGTAAGTGCGGTTCATCAGTTTTACATTATTTGACAACTGTAAAGTACCAGAGTGAAATGTGTCCCCTGTCCCGTGTCTCACCCCTAGACGAGGCTACAGCAGATGGGTCCGACCTGCTGTGGACTGCCCCTTATGTCCCGTCGGTGTTAGTCCACGGTCGGTTCAGGGACAGAGGCTTGAGCGTCGGAGTGAACGGCCAAACTCTGAGTGAGTCTGAAAATGAAAAGAGCGGATTCAACATCAGCCTGCAGGAGGGGAGAGTGGAGGTCAGGATTCCTGCAGGAGCCCATGGAGGACACATTAAGGTATGCAAACAAGATAAAACAGAGAATTGTGTATTTTCTATGATAATTCTCTCATTTTTGCTCATTTTTTGACTTACATCCTTTTTGTCCTAAGTGTCGCCAATCGCTTGCAAAGCAGTTTGAAATGCACTTGATTTGTTCGAAAGGAGCGGTACAAATAAAGTTTGATTGATTGCTGTGATTCTTCCAGAGCGGTGTTGTGAGGGGACGGTATGGCCAGTCCATGTCAGCGGATCTGTTCTTCATGAGTCAGTGGGAGGACGAGCGCTGGCCTCTCACACAGCATCGCTCCTTCAGGCACCTACAGACTCCTCTCATCCCACAAAGCCCAGTCCTCACCAACAGTCAGGCCATGTTAACCTACTTCTCTATGCATATTTCATTCATAAAAACTGTAAAAAAAACATACAGACTGTGCATCAGGGCTGGGTGATAATTCAGTATCCTTTCGCACAATAAGTCTGGTTGCATTGCAAAGCTGCACTTTCCCCTCTTACTGTGCAATAATAATGTGAACAATGTTACAAAATTGTAAAAATTGTCTCTATTTCTATGTACTTTGTGTTGAATACACTGCAGTCATTGATGTCTCTCTCCCTCCACAGACACAGTGTCCTCTGAGGGATTGTTCTCCGTCACTTTAGGCCTCTTTGCGCCTGATGTTTCCCTCCAGAAGGTGACAGTAGATGGTGCTGGTGACATTTTAATGTGGACCCACAGTGACACAGACGACCTCAGTGTGTCCAGGGTCTCCTACTTCAACGGGAGCCGCTCCTACCAGCTCAGTTTCCCGTTGTCGCACCCAAAACTAATCCCAGCGGTGAGATTAACCAACACTGACCCGTTGCTATTATGTGTAGAAGTTCAAAACTCTCTGAAACACCCTACTGTCTCATCCCAGTATATAGGTGGTGGCTATGAGACGTACAGTCTGTCTTTTACCTTTATTCTTACCATCTTACCCAGTGGAGAGGTGTTTTACCATCAAGCCACGATAGAGCCGAGTGTTGAATACACAGGTGAGTGATTTGTCACCATTGCTTCAGACCAGCTGGTGCAGTTAAAATCAATATACTGTGGATTCCCTATCGACCCTGGTGCAGCTCCGGGTTCCCCCAAGCTGCAGGGGAAGTGCACCGAGAGCAGCCTGCTGGTGCTGCTGCACCACGGGGCCCAGAGTGAGCTGCAGTGGGAGCTCTTCCTCGGGGCTCGCAAACTGGACTGGGACCTGGTGGAGATGGGCGGCTTCCTGGTGGAGGCGGCGAACGACTACCTGACCGTGGAGATCCCCCTCTACAGCGCCGGGATGAACTATGGGGTGATCAGTCATAATTTTTCAGATGATATGACGTAGCGGATAATTCAGTTGTTGCTCTACATTAGCATCATCTTTGGGAGGGTAAACATTCACATTTGCTCCTTGTCTTTCCCCATGCAGGATCTGACATTGCGGGGTCTTGTCTCTGGAGTGGAAGTGTCTGTTGTGGACGCAGAGTCTCTGAAAGTGATGGACACTCTAGTCCATGAATGCACCTTTCCTGTTATAGACGTCCTAGGTACAAACCACAAGCTCCAACTAAAGCAACATTTTAGTTTGTTTATAATACTCTTGACACTCGCAGTGTTTTTCTGACAGTATGTTTGCCAGAAGGGAGGATGGTGGCAGTAGTGGACACCACCCACACCATCCCGCCCACTAACCCCAACCGGACCACCCTATTGGACCCCAGCTGTGTCCCCGTTGAGACGGACAGTGCCAGAGCCCTGTTCAGCTTCAGCCTGGACTCCTGTGGGACAACTGTAACTGTGAGATACCTTTTAATTAATACAAATCCACGTAATGAATATGCTCTGGGGCGTGTTTCTGATCTCATATTTCCTCAGACTCAGGGAAATGTCCTTGTTTATGAAAACCAGATCAGTTACCCTCAAGATTTTCTTCCTTTGGATGACCCTCTAATACACAGAGATTCTCCGTACAGGTGAGAAACTTACCTACTGAACTCAGTCCGTCTTTAAATGATAGTGTTGATGTAAGTCTCGTCTGTTTTAGGCTGACAATTCAGTGTCGCTACCCAGCAAACCATAGTAGTACTCTGGCTATCCAGCACCCTTTGAACTCCTCTCTGGACCTTTCATCCGTACCAGTCAAACGCACACGCAGGGAAGCTGCAAACACAGGTGTGTGTGTGTGTGTGTGTGTAAAACTGACTTCAGTTCGTATTTTTAAAAAAAACAAAGATACCAGTTAAGCTGCGACTCGTATTTCATATTAATTATGTAAATATGTGATTTGTTCTCCAATCTAATCAGCCCAAAGAAGGTGGAGAGTGAATTTGGAGGGACAGCAGAACCAAAATCTAGGTAGTGAAACCAATTCAATCATGAACACTGTGCTTAATGTTCTACACAAATCTACTTTGTATTGAAACTTAAGTCATTAAAGTTGGTGTAAGGAACTCCATGTTTAACCTCTCGTCTCTTATCAGGAGTTTCAGTGCGGACTACATCTACGCTTGTCTCCATCCTGCTGCTACCGATGCTCTGCACATGGGTTTCTTTATACATGACCTGTTAACTAAATAAATGAACACTGTTTTGTTTAATATATTTTCTGTTTATCCTGGCAAGATATGAGAAATGCAATGAAAAGGTACCGTCGCTTTGTAAACCACTGATTTTGTTTAATTATTCATATAGACTATTCTATAACACCGGCTTTGCATACTGAAATAGACCACTGGTGCTTTTTAAAATGCCAGGGCCAAAGAATGTGTTAAAGGTAAAGCAGACAAACCTTAACCTCATTAGCTGGAATAGACCTTTTCGATGGCATGACGGTTTCCTGTCATAGCAGGTTGAATTGACATGAATTACATCTGCAGTAACTTGGCATTCTGGTTCAAGGGCCCTGGTATCAAATATGCTGCTTACTGAGACATCTACATGAGCCATTGTTAAGTGTTCCTAAATGTCACGCTAAAAAGTAGAGTTGTTCCTCATGTCCCTGGTGAGTCAAGTGCATTGTCTAAATATTCATTAGGCTTACACGTACAGAGGGGGAAGTAATATTCAGATGGTGAAAAG